TATTAGAACAAAGTCAAAGGAATGAAAAATTTAGTTACATGAAGTGAATTATTTCCTATATTTTTTATTCATTGAGCCCCCTATGATAAAACTATGACAAAACAAAAAAACCTAGATAATACATTTTGATAATTAATAAAAAGGACTGAAATCAAGAGGGTAAGGTGAAAATAGATGGGCTCTTTAAGTCACTATCTGGAAAAAAAAAATTCAGAAATTTTATCACCAAATTCCAGATCTTTCAGATGAAAGAGAAAATATTGTAGCCAAGAAAAAGATCAAGTACCCAAGAACCACTTTCAGAATCACATAAGGAAAGGAAAACTTAGAATACTACATCAAAATGCAAAATAAACAAAAAATAACATCCTGCCAAAGTGATTATAATCCTATAGGATAAAAAGATCACCCTTTAATATAATCAACCACTTACAAGCCATCTGTTGAGAAAACAAGAGCTAGGGATAATTTTTGAGATAACAAGAGCTGGGGAGAATTTTTGAAACAAAATGAAAAAAATAAGAGAAACTAAAAAGGTAAACAAGTTTGAGCAACTTAAATGAACTAAATGATCAAATGCTTAAAATCTAACTAAGGAGAAAACAATTGCCCCTTCAGAGTCCATCTTATCTTTATGGTTAAAACATGGAAAGAAATTTGGAGCCTAAGTATGTGTCTATGTTTTAAAGAAAGGGGAGGGAGAGAAAAAAATACTAAATACTATAGAAGGAATGAAGCAAGAAGAAATTATTATTTCTCATAATTTGGGTACAACAGGGAAAATTATACAAACATGAAAAGCAGGCATCTCATGAACCTGAGGCAATCAAGGAAAGGTTGAGGGAAAAAAAACAGTAATGCCCAGAAATACAAAAAACAAAGAGTTAAAGCAAGGACAGGGAAAGGAAAGAGAGAGATTTTAAAATAGAGGCTTGAGTTAGGGGAGGGAATAATCACAAAGGTCTTGATTTGTTGAATATGTTACAGTGAATATTATACCCTATATGGGTTGGACAAGATGGCATTTGAGGTCTGTTTCAATCCTTAAATTCTGTAATTCTATGAAAATAAGTCAACTTAAAAGAATTAAAACTAATTAAGACTTAAAAGAATAGAGACAATAGGGAAGACTTAGTGATCTGGATCTGAACTAGGTTAAGCGGGGAAGAGATGAGTGAGATCAGACAATTCCAACTATATATATTGTTCATCTTGATACCAATCCTTTTCTTTCTCCTTGTGAAGAGAAGGATGAGAACAAAAATATAAAACATTGTAATAGAATAAGATGGAAGAAAAAGTAACCTATCAAACCAAAAATTTGAATGACATTCATTCATATAGAAGGTAAGAGAATGAATAAGAATAAAAAAAACAAACTCCTGTACAATTTATTTACGAGAAACATACCTCAAACATAAAGATTCAATACACTGAGTTAAAAATGAGAGGATTGAATAGACCATGGATTCCTATCTTGGGGTGAGTACATACATACATACATCCATACACACACACACACACACACACACACACACACACACACACACACAGGAGGTATGAGAAGACAATCAAGATGGTGAGAGAACATTTGGCAAATAACTATGTCACCTCACTGATAAAATCAAACACATAAATAATCACTACAGGAAGGATTCCTTTTTTGAAAAGAATATGTGGGTTAATTGGAAAACAGTTTGGCAGAAATTATGTTTAGATGAACATCTTATATAGCATAGCACAATAAGCTCAAAATAAGTACATGTGCAAACAACCTGAATATAAAAGGCTGCACCATTAAAAAAATTTTAGAAGAGAATAAGATCATGTATCTTTCACAACTGTGGCTGAGAAGAGAATTTTTAAACAAACAAGAAACATCATAAAAGATGAAATAGACAACTACTTAAAATTGTTAAAACTTTTGCAGCAATAAAACAGACAGAATTAGAAAACTTATGGTAGTGTGAGAAAAAGTATTTACATCAATTATGAGAAAAGGGATATCCAAAATACTTTTAAAAGCAACTGATGGATATATATAACATGGTCATTTCTCAATATACAAGTAGTCAAAGGATATGATAAACAGTTTTCACTCTCTCAAAATGCAAATTATGAAAGATATTCTAAATCTCTAATAGTAAATGCAAATTAAAACAACTCAGGTTTTACTTCATACCGTGCAAATTAGCAAAGATGAAACAAGATGGGAACAGTATGTGTTAAAGGGGGCTGTAAAGAAATGCATATTGATTCACTATTACTGGAACAGTGAAACAGTCTGATCATTCTGGATTTCAGTTTTGAATATATACAATAAAAATGACTAAATTTAAACCTTCCAATTGAGGAATCCCACTACAGGGTAATACACTCCAACAAAATTAAAGACAGAAACAATATTCATAGTTAACACTCTTTGTGGGAGCAAAGTACTGAAAAAGAAATGGCTGCCATCAACTGTGGATTAGCTGAGAAAATAATGGCATGTGAATGAAATGTAATATGACTGTGCAGTAAGAAATGATGAATATAGGGAATTCAGAAAAACATGAGAAGATCTGAATGAACTGATGCAGAGCAAAACAAGCAGAACTAAGAGGACCAGATACACAACACTGACTACAACAATGTCAATGAAAAGTTCAGCAATATAAATTAAAAGGAAGTCAAACTCTGAGTAAAGGAAAAACCAATGATGGTCCCAGAGAACAGATAACAAAACATACCTCTCTTCCCTCTTGGCAGAGAAGTGGGGGACTACTAGAACAGTGTATTGTATAGATTGTCAGATGTAGTCACAGTATTGGATGTTTTTGCATAATTGTTCTTTCTTTTTCACAAGGGAGAGTTCAATCTGGAGGAGGGAGTTGAAATAACTCTGATGTAAAGACAAAAGGCATCAATAAAATGCATTTTTAATTAAAATAAAATGAAAGATTTAATGAAGTGAATTGTCAAGTATGTGTCCAATACTTGACAATATTTGCTGGAACAATATTTGTTCAAAACACAGAATGTAAAGTAGGATGGGTACTAGAGATTTGATTGTCGATACCCACCTCCCTTAATCTGAAAATTATCAAGTTTACCAGGCTCAAATACATGCATAATGCAAATTATCAAAACATTAATTTTAATTAATAAATAGCTAGCATTTATACAGTACTTTAAAGTCAGCAAAGTACTGTACGTGTTATCTCATTTGATAAATGCATTATTATAATAAATTATTACTTACATTTATATAGCAAATCTTAAAATTTTGACTCACAACAACCCTCATAATACAAATATTGCTATCTCCATTTACAGATAAGGAAACTGAGGTTAGGAGAGCTAAGTGACTTGCTCAGGAATACATAACCAAATAAAAGCCTGAGTCAACTGGTCTCCTAAACCCAAATCCTAGTGGGCCTAAAGTCACAGTTTAGGCAAATCCTATGTAAAGTATGCCTGTACTAAGATGACACTGCAGAGTAAGGGGACTGGAAAGAAGGGAAGAAGTAAAGGGGAAAAGGGAGAGGAATGAACTGCCTCTGTAAGTTTACCACAGAAAACTTACCAAAAAAATGTTTTTACATACCAAAAAGATGGTACAGTCAATGTGGAAAATCTATGAAATATCCACATATACATATTATTTGTATTAACAAAGAACTCTTTCCTTCTAATCCTCCTTTAAAAAATGTTTCTTAAGAAATAAAATGAAGCTCTGTCCCAGGATCTCCAGATAAAAAACAGTAAATTGCCAATTCCAAAAAGAATATTTGTTCTACATAAACTACCAAAAATCAAAATAAAATACATAAGTTTAAGCTTAATTATAAGAATGTTCACTAAATATTTCTTGCAATACTTGGAGGATGCAGAGTATCCTGAATTGCAGACAGCTCATCCTCAAAGTCTCCCTCATTGACTGATGAAATGATTAAAAGGAAGCTCACTCTCTCACACACTTGTCCAGGAGGGCAAGGATGTGTTTATCTGACTTTTCTAACTCCTTGCCTTACTCCCCAAGTGCTTAATGGCAGCTAGGCCACACACCTCGTGCTAGGGCTTGGAGTTGGTTAGACCTGAGTTCCAATTCAGATTCAGACCTTTACTAGATAAATTGCCCTAGGCAAAGTCATTTAACCTCTGTCAGAATCAGTTTCCAAACCTGTAAAACGAGGGTATCCTCAACTGTAAAATAGCACCTACCTCACAGGGTTGTTGTGGGGTTCAAATTAGTCAATATTTAATAATGCATGTTGCTTTCCTTTTGTTCCCTAATGTGCTGGCTGAATTAAATCGAATTCATATAATAATAGGCAAATTTTGTCATTCTGCCTAACCTTGTCATCTGACACTGTTACTGACCTTTTTTTCTCTGTAACCTTCGAAAACAATCCAAATAATCAAGTTATACAGGTGTAAGCACAAGTCTCATCCCGTAACTTGTGAAAGGCCAAAAAAGCTTCAGATTCAGAATGGGTTACAATCAGAAGTTCAACGCTCATCCTAAGATTACAGATTTAAAAGTGAAGGGAATGTTAGAGGCCATTTAATCCAAACTCAATTTACAGATGAGAAAACTGAGGGCCAAAGAGGTTACAGGACTTGCCCAAGGTCATACAAGAACGCAGGACTCGAGCCCAGCTCCTGGAATAACAAAACCTTCGTTTTGTTTTGTTCTTGCAAATGAACCACGTTTTCCCTCCGCAACAATCCAATCACAAAGACACCAAACAAAGCCACTCCTCTTAAAAGGGTCTGGCAGGTTGAACTAAGCAGTACAAAGTAACACAAAGGGCAAAGCCAGTCCTGAGTTTTTCTTTTAATCCATAAAACCCCCAACTACATACGAGAAAAGACCCCATCCAGCGTCAGCAGGTTGATTTTTCCTCAATTCAGCCTCTTCGCCCCTGCCCTCAAGCAGTGCGGTTACTTGGAACCTTTCCTCCACCTGACATAAGGTGCACATCAGCGGGACCCCCAACTGCTCGGGTTCTCACCTGTCTCAGGTGCTGTTACTGCCACTGCCGACGTCTCCATAGTCTCCAGGTCATTGTTCATTTCCTCTCCCGAGCAGTTAGGGTTCATTACTTCCTTCCTAACATGCGCACGCCGTCTCTCGTGGCTCAAGTATGAGGTTTCTTTCTCTCCACTAGATGATGTGTTTCATTTCCACAGATACCACGAGGGGCTCTGGGCGGCTCTCCTGCGTCTTCTTCGAGTCTCTGCTTTTGTTTCTAAGGCTTCATGGGCCTCCCTGCCCAAACGCGTCTCCCCTCCGCGCGAGGCCGAGCCCCCAGCTGCCCTGCCTCCTCTCTCGTCCTCTGTCCAAGGGCGCACGGGAGCGGAAGGTGGGGGTGGGGCGGCGAGGAGGGAGAGGAGCTGGAAGAGTTTCAGCACCTGGGCTGAGTCGTGGCTGCCGCGCGATCCGAGCAGTCAGGGGGGCTGAGGATCCCAAAAAGGAGTCGATAAGAAATCGACCCAAAGATTGGGGGTAGAAGGTGGCGAAGAAATGGTTCTGGAAGAGTCTCCGTTCTCGAGAGGGAGAAAGAAGGCAAACCCTTTCTTCTACCTAGCCAAAGGAAACATGTCGACCGCCTTTGGGAGGGCTGGCTTGGGCGCCACTGAGCCAACCGGAAGTGAAACCTTCGCGACCGGGTGCAAGAAAAAAAGGAAAGTGAAAACTGAACTATGGCGTCACGCGTGGGCGGGCAACCCAGAGCAACGGCGCGCTCCCCGACGCAGGGCGGGGCTCCCGCGGCGTCCTTGGGCCGCCAAACCGACCCTGCGCCGCTGGGATCGCTCTGCCCGCGGCCGATTTCCCCCCTGGCAGTTCGGGCCAGGCGTGGCCTCGAGGCTCGGCCCTTGGTAGTGGGAGGAGGAAGAGGGAAAGGAGAGACAATGGGAAGGGAGGCGGAAGCGGAAGTGCAACTCTCGGAAAAGGAAGGCCAGGATTGGAAGAGTTGCCAGGAAACCAAGCCCCAAAAAAGCATCTTTGTAGGGGGACATCTTACTGCCACCTCGGCCGGCTCGGGGCTAGCAGAACCCATTTTGGCTGCGTTGGGGTGTAGTATCTCACAGTTTCCTTATAAAGTATCAAGAAGTGTGTGTGTCAAGTAAAAAGTCTGGCCCCAACACAGGGTGGGTCGCCGTGGGGGACACAAAAGAAGCCAACCTCAAGGTGCCTCCTCTTTATTTGGTTATGGGGTTTTGAGCATGTAATCTTTTCATCACATACATGCATACATACGTGATTTTTTGAGCGTATAAAGGAAGCATTCTAAGCCCATCGTAGAATTACAGAATTAAAAGAGACCTTGCCCATTTTCAAGTCTGAACCCTTCATTTTAGAGATGAAAAAACTAGAACAAGCAGAAGAAAATTCAAATGGAGACACGCAGAAAAAGAGGAAGTGCTGGTATTAATCAACAAGTATTTGTTATGAACTTGCTGTGTGCCAGGCACTAGACTAGGCTCCGGGAGTATAAGTTGTTTAATTGCATCCAACACTTCATAACCCTATTTGGGATTTTCTTGCCAAAGATACTGGAGTGGTTTGCCATTTTCCTCATCAGTTCATTTTACAGATAAAGAAACTGAGGTAGACAGTTAAGTGATTTGCCCAGGATCACACAACCAGTAAGTGTCTTGAGGCCTTATTTGAACTCAGGGAAATGAGTCTTTCTGACTCCAGGCCCCCCACTGTGTTCACTGCCCCATATACAGAATTAATATGCACAGAATAAATATAAAATAAATTGAGGGTTAGCTAAATACTGATAGAGAGGATACTATAAGTGGTGATTAAGAAAGAATTAATGTAAAAGGTAGGTTTTGATCTGAATCTTACAGCAAGTGAGGGATTCTGTGAGATGGAGGTTAGGAGTACATTTCAGGCATGAGAGTTGGGAAGTATCCAGTGCCTAGAAAGAAATGGAGTGGAAAGGGAGTGCTGTGTTTGAGGAAGAGAAAGAAGGTCAATTTGTTTTGTGCATATTTTGGAATTTACTAATTTGTGACCTGAAAGAGACCTTTCTTGATTCTCCCAGTTGTTACTTCTTCCTCCCACCCTAACCCCCAATTATTTTTATTTATTTTGTACGTATTTTGGAATTTACTAATTTCTGAAAAGAAGGTCAATTTGACTGGACCATACAGTGTAGGAATGGGAGTAATGTATAAATAAGGCTGGAAAGATAGAATGAACCAGTTTGTGAAGAGCTTTAAAAGTCACATGGACTTTATAGTTGATTCTAGAGTCAATAGGGAACCACTGGAGTTTTTTGAGTAGTGGAGTGACATGGTCAGATCTATAGTTAAGAACAATCTCCTTGTTGTCTGTGTGGAGGATGGATTGGAGTAATGAGAGACTAGGTCAGGAAGACCATTTAGAAGGCCTTTGCAGTATTGTCCAGTCAAGAGGTGATTAAGACCTGAACTGATAGCGGCTGTGTGAGCAGTGAGAAGGGATCAGATGTAAGAGATGTTGTGGAGGTAGACTGCAAGAATAAGGGGGTAATAGGAACCATCATCGTCAAAAAATATTTATTAAATGCTTACTATATGCCAGTTACTGTGTAACTGACTGAGGCTTTAAAGAAAAGAAGCCTTACTCAGAGAGCCTACATTCTTAAAGGGGGAGACAACATGAAAACAACCAAGTACATATAAGAAGGGAAAGGAAATAAGAATTTATACGATACCTACTATGTGCCAGGCACTGTGCTAACTGCTTTTTATAAATATTGTCTCGTTTGATCCTCATAACCAACAGGAACTATTATTGTCATTTTATAAGTGAGGAGACAAACAGAGGCAAAGTGCTTTGCCCAGGATCATAGAGCTAGTAAGTGTGTCTGTCTGGATTTGAACTTGAGGCTGACTCCAGTCTCAGACCTCTATTCACTGAGCTACCAGTTGCCTCTACAAAATATAGATATAGATACGTATGTGCATTATGTATATGTGTACATATACATAGTGTAATTGGAAGATAATCTCAGAAAGAAGGCACTAGGAAGGAGGAGTGGAGAAGGATCAGGAAAGGTCACTTGCAGAAGGTAGGATTTGAGAATTTAAAAGAACATGTGGGGTCCTCCTTTCAGGGACTTAAGACCCAGTGAGAGAAATTATTATTTTCTATTATATTAATAACCAATTATTAAATTAGGATTAAGGCTTTTTCTCTTTCCTCATTGTGGGATCAGTCCCGGTAAGACAGTCAGTCATTGGAGATAAATGAGGTTTCCCAAATCCTCAGGGAACGTAAGCCTTGATCTTGGATGGGAACCCACCCAAGTAGGAGACCTTACTTCCGTTTAGAGTGTAAACTGAATCTAATCTAGGTGAATTCCAGCCCTAAAGCATTAAGCCCATGTCCTGGCACCCCTTCATTGGAGTTTGGGGTAACCTAGCTCATGAAGGAGAAACCCAGCCAGAGTGGTCTGGGTAGAGACAGATTCTTTTGTCCAGATTACTGGAGGTAGCTGAGTCTCATGATCAAACATCATTCTCAGCAGGAGGAGCTGAAGGCTATCAGCCTACCTCCTCATTAATTGTTCACCAGTCAGGGTTGACTTTAACCTGTCAGGGGCATCCCCTTTTCTAAAAGTATATTAAGGCATTCAATATCTCCATTAAGTATCTTTGGTTACTGAGAAAAGCCACTGACCATCAATTTATTGATTATAAGCTAGCCATTACCCAGAAATTCTGTCTTTTGAGTTTTTCATTCATCTCACTGGGGAGCTAGATGGTACAGTGGACAGAATGTTGGACTTGAAATCAAGAAAACCTGGGTTGAAATCTAGTCTCAGACACTTAGTAGATGTGTGACCCAGTACAAGTCACTCCATCTCTATCTGCCACAGTATACTCACCTGTAAAATGGGAATAATAATGCTACATACCTACTAAGGCTGCTGTGAGGATAAAATGAGATAAAATTTGTAAAGCATTTTGCAAACCTTGTGGTATGATCCAAATGCTGGCTATTCTTATTATTATTATTATTACTCTCAAGTGAAAAACCAAACCATCCTTAATGAAATTCTAGGGTATCAGTCCTGGGTGGAAAATAGATCCAATGGATACCTGCAAGTGTGGAGGGACTCACAATTATCCTGGATAAAGCCATTAGGTATTATTGTGGTAGGAATTACAGAGATGGGTAGATTTTAGGGGAACAGTTCCCCACGTGTAACATGGAGTACTTAGGGATATGGAATAAGAGGGGGAAAAGGACGCAGGAATAGTTCATATGGTGAGCCCTTCTTTCTTCCTTTGTCCTGTACAACTGTAGTGTAAAGGAAATTTATGACTTCAGATAATATGGATCTCTCTTTTTTTTTTCGTTAATTTATCTTGGGCTGTCTTAGAAAGCTGTCATAGCAACTGTATTTAGAGTTCCTGGAAAGTGGCTATTGCTCAGCCACACTTTCTATTGGAATAGAGAGGGAGGGATGCCTTAGAGGCATCTCCTGGTCTTATATAGACTTAGTCCTCTCTCCCAAACCTCTATTGCTTCACATAATATCAAAACACAAAATAAAGTTAATGGCCACTAATACAATTTTTTCAATATTTTGTTTTTTCAGTTACATGTAAAATAATTTTTAACTTTCATTTCTTTAAAATTTTGAGTTCCAAATTTTCTCCTTCCCTCCTCCATCTCTCCCCTCCCTAAGATGGCAAGCAATTTGATATAGATTATACTTGTGCAATCAGGCAAATCATATTTCCATATTGGTCATGTTATGAAAGAAAACATAAACCTTCTCCCAAAAAAACCATGAAAAAAATAAAGTGAAAAAAGTATGCTTCAATCTATATTCAGACTCCATCAGTTCTTTCTCTGGAGGGGGTTAGCATTTTTCACCTTGAGTCCATTGAAATTGGCTTGGATCATTGTATTGCTGAGAAGAGCGAAGTCATTCACAGGTGATCATCATTATAACATTGCTGTCACTGTTTGCAGTATACTTCTAGTTCTAAGTTCACTTTACTTTGCATCAGTTCGTATAAGCCTTTCCAGGTTTTTCTGCAAGCATCCTATTTATCATTTTTTATAGCACAATAGAATTCCATTACAGTCATATACCACAACTTGTTAAGCCATTCCCCATTGATAGGCATCCCCTTAATTTTCAATTCTTTGCCACCACAAAAAGAGCTGCAATAAATATTTTTGTACAAATAGATAGTTTTCCTTTTTGTTTTGATCTCTTTGGGTACATTCCTAGTAGTGGTATTGCTGGGTCAGAGGATATGCATAGATTTATAGCTATTTGGGCATAGTTCCAAATTGATCTTCAGAATGT